ATGTTCATTTAAACAATATCTAGACAATGAGTATTCCACAAAAGAAAAAAAAGAAGGGTTGGAAGAAATAATAATCGATGGAAGTATTTATAAAAATTCAAACACGATTGATAAAAAAACAGCTGAGAAACTTGAAGGAAGAAGTGTAGATTTGTCAGAATATCCTAATTTAGAAAAATTAATAATCGATGGTAATCTACTTAAAAGCAAATTAACTAGTTTAGATTTAACTAATTGTAATAAATTGACTATTCTTGGTTGCTCTCGCAATGAATTAACTAGTTTAGACCTAAGCAAAAACGAAAAATTAGAAGAGTTATATATCAGTGACAATAATTTTTTCACCCAAGATTTATCATTTTTAAGTCATTTATTAAACCTAAAAGAACTTTGTTTAGGAAATTATAATAATAAAGAAAAGATTAACCAAGGTCTTTACAATCGCTTCATGGGTTCCTTAAAACCCTTAAAAAATTTAACTAAATTAAAAAAAATAGATATTAAAGATACTGATATCAGTCATGGTTTAGAGTATTTACCCGACAGTGTGGAAGAATTGGGTTGTTCAGTTGATGAAAGAAAGGATGCACAAGTACAAACTATTTATAATCTCTTTGCTAATGAGCAAGGGGTGGTAGAAACAGATACTTTTGGACTTATAAAAAACTTTCCTGCCAAACTTCAAGTCTATAAACAAAAAATCCAAACACAGAGCAACCAAGCTCAAACTGTTCAAATTGAAATTCTTACTACTAATAAATAGTTATTTATTCTAAACCAGAATCAATATCAGTATCCGAAATATTTAAATGCTTCAGTTTATTCATATTCCTTAATGATTCTAAAGAACCAATAATTCGATTATAAATTCCCCGTTGAATTTTTTCTTTATTGCGATTTTCTAACGATAAGTGTTTCAAACCAACCAAATGACTAAGAAAGTTTAAATCTTGCTCGGAAAAATTATTGTCGCTAATGCTTAATACTTCTAATTTACTATTTTGACTTAAATCTAAGTCGGTTAAAAGATTATCACAACAGTAAAGTGTTTTTAAATCAGAACAATCTTGAACATTTAATTTTCTGAGTTGATTTTGAGAACATCTGAACTCTTCCAACTTGACGAACCCTTCCAATCTTAAAAACCCTTCTAAATATTCCTCTTTGCCAATCAATCCTTTTTCTCTTAGTTTATGTGAATCGAAATTTAATTCGGTAATATCTTTTCTGTTTTTAAGTGGATAATTTTTATTTAATCATTCTTGGGCATTTATCATAATGAATTATTTTAAACTTTATCTCTTAACAGCTATTAATTATTAAAAGAGGAAATTTTTTATTAAAAAAGTGGTATATGATAGATAATCAAACAATGCCTTATGTCGATTTAAATAAATGCTCTGGATGTAAAGAGCGATTTAAAACAGGTCAAGAATGTCAAGCCCTCAATTATCGAGGGAAAACAGTAATGCATTCTTGTCTAACTTGCTGAGATAATTATTACACTACTGAAAAACTTACACTTGCCGAATAAAAAAAATAGTTAATGTTAAAAGAGTTAGCAAATTATTATTTATAAAAACTAAGTTATGATAAACAAAAACAAAGTTTCTCAACAAAACCAACCTAAACCAAAACGATTAACTGATAAAGAAATGCGGGAATTATTAACTAATTTAAAAAAGGAGGCTGACAAAACCCCAGAAGAGAAAGGCAGTTTTAGTTTAGAAGTAATTTGTAGTGGTAAAGATATGGAGAGTAAGAAATAAGTAAGTAAATGGAGATATATTTTGAACACTTAATTAATGCTACTTATCGGGCTTATCAGGATATCCTAATTAAGAAATATGGTGATATTTATCCCTTGCGTTCAGCCATTATTAAGTTTGGGGGCTTTCATTTGAGTTATGATTGATACGGCAGAACTAGACTGGGTAAAGAGGAAATTGGCAATTTAATTATTTACACACCAAAGAAGTCCATTTAAACATTCTTTTTGCTTATTGTCTTGGTGGTCTAAAAAGTGATATCCCTAACTTTACTGAATTGTTTGGTTTCCGTAAGTTAGTTAATACTATCGCTCACGAGTTAGCCCACTGCTTAATGGCTAACTATAAACTTCAATTTGGTTATAAACACGATAAAAGCCATGGCGGACTAACCCAAGATGTCGAGGCTTTTTTATGAACTTTACCCGAAGTTAAAGAGTTAGAGAGATTACAAGGTTTTCAGTGAAAGGAGTTAGTGAAGAATTTGGGGTAGTGTCTTTTTCTTTTGAAAGCAAAATATTCCTCCCATTATAGTTAAAAATGTTTAAAATATTTCATTATGCCAAATCCAAAGGATACTCTGCCAACTACCGCTGAGCAAGTAATTTTAAAAGAGCAAAGTAATGATGAATTATTCAACTTAGAAGAAAAAATTATCACTTATTTAGAAAATTCAAAAAAAATTAACCTTTTGCAAAAAATAGGCGGTAAAAGAAAAAGCCTGTTATCGACTAGCAGGAAAGAATATAAAAAAATAGACGAGGAGAAAATATTTTATCAAGCGAATAGAAAAACAAATTGAAAAGAAAATAGCAATCCCTTTTTTAATTTTACGGAAGAAATAACCCAAGAGTGAATAGATAAAGGGTTTGATAAAGACAATTGTAAAGAATGATTAAATGTAGGACTAAGAGTTCAAGACTATCAATATGCCCAATGATTAAGAGATGAGATTAAACTAACTCCTGAACAGTTTTTAAATAGTGGTAATAATAGAAAATTGAGACAACAATTTACAGAATATACTGTTAACAAAATAAACAAAGGATTTGATGAACATGGAGATAATTTTTTTGCCTTTTCTACTATACCAGAACACTATAATTTAAAAATAAGAGAAGGATTAAAGTTATTGCAAAAGAAAGAAAAGAACAAGAAATCAAAAAATTCTGAGAGTATTAAATTTGCTCCTGGAGAGAAATTAAATAGCCAAGAGGTCGACTGGGCATTATCCCAAGTCCTAATTTCTAGCAACTATAAAATCCTTCCTGCTAACCAATTTTACCAAATAAGAGAAAAAGGACAAAAATGTTTAGCTTTTCAGAATCTATTATCTGAATTAGATAGAAATAAATATGAATTAGTTTTTGTTCCCGTAAATAATCTTGATTTTCATTGAAGTCTACTAATTTATGAAACTAAATCCGGATTCTTTTATCATTTTGACACATCGGGAGAAAATAATTGGGATTATGTAAAGCCTTTAGTGCGAGATTTGCTAATAACTAAAAAAGTTTCTAGCGAACAATGAGAAGAATATTTGGTTCCTCGACACAATATTCATCAAGGTAATGATTATGATTGCGGAATTTATCTTCTAAGCTTTGTTGCATTAATAAGCGACAATCCGAAATTGTTGAAAACAGAAGGAGTTCATGAAACAGATTCAAAAAGGCAAAGAAATTATTGGCAAAGCAAAGCAAAAAAGTTGTTCAGCATCGTTGGTAATAAGGAATTAGCATGCAAACAATGTAATATATATAATCAAGAACACAAGAAAACGGCAAAACCTCCATATAGGCTTTTACATGTGCCAACTATGAAAGTCATTATTGGAATGACTAATTATGTAGAATATTTTTGTGTGTCTCACGTTTGGGGGAACTTAACAAATGATAAAGGTATTAAGATGGAAGATGCTTTTATACAAGAAAATATCGACAAACTAAAAATAGTTTCGGCAAACTCAGGTGTGGATTGAGTTTGAATAGATTTGTTATGCATTGACCAAATGGATGCGAGAGACAAAGCGAAAGAAATTCCCAAGATGAGAGATTATTTTAAAGATGCGACTTTTGTAGTTACATTTACCAATACTCATACAAAATGATTACAAGATAGTCGAGGGTATTTTTGGTTAAAAACAGGACCCGAATGAACTAAGTCTGATTTAGGGGCAATTAGTGAAGAATATTTCGAAAGTCTCAATGAAATTTATGAGTTTATAAACAGAGAAGAGTGGTTCAGGCATATTTGGACATTCCAAGAAGCAGTATTAAATAAATGCTTGGTTTTTATATCAGAAAACGGAACCATAAAAATATGTGGTCACACCATTGCGGATGCGACAAGAGCTAGTAAAGAAATACGAATGATCCCAATACTTAAGGTATTTATGGGAAATTTTTCAGCATTGTCAAACAAAGATTCAACAGGAGATGGTGAAATACCAGAAGAACTAGAGTATGTGGCCTCTGGAAGTAATAAACTACAGTTACATAAAGTGTTGGGGTTGGTACGCAGAAGAGAATGTACCATAGAAGAAGATAAGATATATGGTGTTCTTGGATTAATTAACATAAAAGAAATCAATCCCATGTATGGAATTGGTTATGATAAGGCACTATCTATGGTAGTTAAAAATATAGGCATTGATAAAGAAGTTATATTAATTAGTTTATTACATCCTAGTGTCGGATCATCGGAAGGCATGCATTGGTTTCCAAATACGAAAGACCTACAAGAATTTGTGCCAGATAATTCTGTAATAGATATAATGGAGAATAAAATAGGAGATGCAATGATATATGATTCTGGCATTCTTTTGCGTGATCCAGTAATTACTAACTTTGAAGTTATTGGACCTCCTATTTCTATCGGAAGAGATATATCTACAAAAGACTTTTTGCATAAACTCGTAGAGTATAAAAGGAATTATGACAGCATAGTGTTTTCAGGATTATTAGTAAGCCTTGGTTTACCAAGACTTGGGTGAGAGAATAGATGAATAATGCAGTATTTAGGAGAATATAGTGATATAGCAAAAATCAGTGTAATTGGAGGGGAAAAACACAGTAAGAATCCAAACGAAACTTTTGAAATTATTGAATTATGGATAAAAGATCTAGTAGAAGGAAGAAAAAGTCAGTTCATAACACCTGTTATGGTACCAGGTATTAATGAGCCATTATGTGGAATTATATATTCATATGGTTGATTAGATATTAGAAAAGAATTAGATGGAATATTAATTGCAGAAGGAAAAGCAAAAAGGATTAATATTTCACAACATTCCACACTTTTACTTTTATAATAACAAATTCCAAATAACCTTATTAGAAAGAGGAGTATTAAACCCAATTACTCTCTTTTCATGACAAAAATCACAAGTAAATCCTTCTTCTTTGCTTAAACGATTGAGTGTTTCTTCATAACCACAAGTCTTAAAGGCACAATCACGACAAAACAATTTATTATCAAGGTTAAACAAACGCCGATAAGAACCGCTACCACCAATGAAAAAGATTTAGTAATAGGACCCTTGTGCTGGCTCTTTTGTAGTTTTAGAAGTTTGTCAGGAACTAAATAGGAAATTTCTTGGCTGTGATTTAACCTTTAAAGAACTAAAAGAATTTCAGCAAAAAAATAAACTATATGCCAACCCTTAATTTAAAAAATATTTCCATCAAAGAAAAAGAGGACAAGAATTTTAACAAGTATTATTTAATTGTTCACTTCTGTCCCTATTGTTGGAGTATAACCCATATGGTTTAGCAATTAGATAAGAAAGAATTAGAAAGTCGGGGAATACAACCCTAATCGAAAAACATGAAAATATTACGCTTATGAGCCAGTTGCAGACAAAAAAAACAAGAGGAATTACAAAATATAATTATCTTTTTAATGATGATGATTTAGATTTTGTTGGGTTTGTGAATGTGCTTTATTCAGATGAAAATCGACATTCTCAATCTTGGCAAACTGGTCGATTTGGATCATAACCAAAATCGGTATGACTACCATTTACTGGCAATTGTAACATTAACTTTGTTTTTTCTGCAAACCATGCAAGTTCATTGTTCGTGTCTTGACATAACTATGTTTTTTACTAAGCATTTGGTGTTTAGAGTGATACTATATTTTTTTGTAATATTTTCATGGATTATTTAGGAGGGATTTGGATTTGGGATTCATATCGATCAATATTTTCTTTTCCTTCAATCACTTTTTTATTAATCATATCAATCACTAATTCTTTACTCTCTGTTTCTATTAAGAATCTTGGCTTTTCTATTATTACTAATATATCTATTAAACAATCAGCATTACTTTCTTTTGGTACTAGGATAACGAATGATACATTAGTTTTCCATTTTTTCTTATTAGGCATCACAAGAAGATCGCCTTCTTTTATCGATTCAAGTGTTTTTTTTATTCCTTGTAAAATAAATCAATTTCCATCCATAGTTTCTACTTTGCAACTTTCGGCAAATGAGAAACCCATTTCCCATTCTTCATAGTTAGGGAAGCGGACAATTATGTGCTTGGAACCTGCTAATTTAACGTAACTTTCGGTTATTTTAATACTCCCAGGTATACAGCGAATTTGTATTTCTTCTATAAACATTTTCTTGTTTTTTTTTACATCAACAACCGAACCCTTTTCATTTATTTCTGGTATTCATCATAAGTAGGGTTCATTTTTTCTTGGTCCGAACCAAGTAAATGGTTCGGCATAACCATTTTCTACTGCTACCTTTGTCACGTCTAAAAAAGTTTGTTCTAGTTCCCCTTTAGTATAATTTCCACCTGGTTCTTTGTATTTAACCTTTACTTTACTACCATATGGCAACAAACCGAGAATAGAATAGATAGAGTCAACAAAAATAGTACTCTCGCGGTTCCTAATTGACTCTAGTGCTTTGGAAAAACTTAGATTGATTTTTTCTTGTAGTTTATACTTATCCTTACAGTAAGTTCATCCAAGAGGGGTAGAATATACTTTAGGATTATCGTTCACATTTGCATTAAAAAAATTGAATGTACTCTTTAATCCTTTTGAATCAGAGAAGTTTTTTAAATGATCTATTTGGGAAAGTCTTCATGCTTGTGCCAAAATTCTTCCGTCCACTAAGCAATTGTCAAACATGAAAACAGTTTGGTGAGACAGGAGTCCCTCTTGATAAGTTCAAGAGCGAGTGAATCACTTCGAATTAATGATTTTTTCTAATGCTTCTAAAACAAAACTTCCTTTTTTTTCTTCTATTAAACTCTTATCATAAGTTCTTCCCATTTTTTTGTTGATTGATATCAAGGTTATCTCAGCATTGCTATAGTAGTTTCGCATCTTTGGAACTTCTTGGTTTTTTTCCTCAATGCTTTTTTGGTCAATGCAGAGTTGGTCTATCCATAGATAATCAATTCCTAAACATAAGCATGTCTTAGTCGCTTTATATAAGGCTTTTTCTCCTCAAACAGTCAATTCAATGTTGAAAATTCTTTCTTTTCCCTTTCAGTCTTTGTAAACTATTTCCTTTTTTAATTTAGGTGATGATTGGTCGCCTCAAGCGTAAGATAAAACAGCATAGGACTTTATATCATCTCTTCCTTTAGTTTCTTCTAGTTTTTGCTTTTTGGTGTTGTAAAGCCTGACGGGCAATTCTGTTGATGATAACGATTTAAACTGTTTGCTTTCTCACGAAAAAGGACGATTGTCACGAAGAACAATTTCCTGGTAAATTATAATTCTTTCTAGGTTATAGTTTTCTCCAAACTTATTTTCCTCCTTACTTAACGAAGAAAGGGGGACACTTATTGCCATTTCCATCTCATCGTAAAGATTATTCAGTTTATTTTCACCCATTAATTCAGGATGAGCTTCTTTTCAGGCTCTAAGGTTTCAACCATATAGGAGTAATTCGTCCTCTATTTTCCTAACTTCAGCCTCACCCTTTATTTCATCATAATTATCTTGGGCACAAAATATCATTCTTACACTTTCTGGCAAGTATTCTAGTCCAGAATCAAGGTTAGTGTTTTCAATATAAAGATTTTCCAATTTAGTTAGATTTTTCAAAGGTTTTAAAGAACCAGTAAAGCGATTGTAAATATTTTTTGCCTTTTTTTCTAGGTTTTCTTGGTATTGTCTTTCTTTCTTTAATTTTTCATAATAGTATAAGTCAGTTGATGCTAACTTAGTTAAGCGGTTTCTTAGTCGTAGTCCCTTTAAATTAGCAAGATGGCTCAAAAAACTTAGATCTTGTTCAGCAAAGTTATTATTCTCGATGTTTAATCTCCATAATTTCCTGTTTTTGCTTAAATCAAGATTAACTAAGTAATTATCACTGCAGTCAAATTCTTTCAAATTTGGACAAACATTAATGTCTATCTCTCTAAGTTGGTTATTAGAACAACATAACCTAGCAAGATTGTCTAATTTACCTATTTTTAATTCAGTTATATTGTTTCCGTAACAATCAATTCTTTCCAGTTTTGGACAGTCGATGATCTCTAAAGAGGTGATTTTGCCACGATCATAAGTTCTATTGTCCGAGCAGTCTAATTTCCTAAGTTTAGTAAAGTTTTCTAGTTTTAAGGAGCCTCTTAAGTTTTTATCCCGGAGATTTAATTCTGTAATATTTCCTTTTTTTTCTTCAGGATAATGTTTATCTAAATATGCTTGAGCACCAATGCTACAATTATTTTCTTCCACTGCATCTGGATATTCTTTCTTTAATTTTTCTTTATTTAAGTGATAGGCGTTTTCTACTTGTTCAGGAGTCAAGTTAGAGTCATTTATCAATTGTTTTGTTGCTTCATAGCCAAATCCCCTTTTTTCTCATTTTTCTTGCAACTCAGGAGTGAAATTAGGATGAATATCATTTCAATTTTTATTATTAGCAGATTGTTCTAGTTTTTCTTTTATAACATCTCATGGAAGATTTGATTTATTTATCTCTCAAACATTAAATGCCGCTGTAACTAACGGAATTGGTGACTTCGAAAATAAACCAGTTTCTTTAAGTGATTTAGTTTCTTGATAGTTGAAAATTAACTTTTCTCACCCTTCTTTTATTCCTGCAAAAGGAGAGAAATTAAAGAATTTTTTTGCTGTCTCGGTTTTTTCTTCAGTCTCTAGCCGTTCACTTGTATTTTTTAAGCAAAAAATAGATAAATCTTTGCCTTTGATAATGTTGTCATCAAGTCTTTCTCTTAGTTCATTTACCTCATTAGTCAACTCCATTAATCTATTTGAGCATTCTTCTATTCTCTTTTCTTTATTTCTAATCGTTAATCAATTAATCTTTAGGGACTGTATGTCCACATATTGCTTTTGTAATGAAAGCAATTCTGAATTTAAGTTTTCTAACTCATTCTCTTTTTTTAATAATTCCTTAACTATTTCTAATTCTTCCCGCAATTCCTTTTCATTACCATTATTTAGTACCCATTCTGGTTCTTTCTGCTTAACATTTTTCAATCAGTAAGCATAATCATAGTCTTTAACTTTTAGTCCTACATCTATCCACTCTTTACACTTTTCAGCACCAAATCCTCTCTGTTCTCATTCTTTTTGCAGTTCAGAAGTGAAATCATTATGAACATCTTTCCATCCTTTTATATCTCTACTTAAGTTCTCTTGTGTAGTTAGAATTTTTTGTGAATTATCGTATTTTTCTCTTAATTTTGATAACTGATCTGGAGATAACTCGGAAGCATTATATTTCTTTTGTTTCAGATATCAAACAAAATCGTAGTCATTTACTTGTAGACCATCTTCAACTCAATGCTTTGTCTGTTCATAACTAAATCCTTTATTTTCTCACTCTTTTTGTAGTTCTAGAGTAAAATCCAGATGGATATCTTTTCAATCTACCATAATATGATTATTTTTGTTTATTATAATTTTATAGAACTTTAATTCCTTATTACTTTGTTAAGGAATATTTACTCTATATTTATGGTTTTACACCAAGGAACCATTTTTTTCATTTTGGAATTCATTCCAAAAAGTAGGGTTTAAGTCAAAAAGTATTAATAAAAATAAGTGAGAAAAATAAATTATAACGAATAGAGAAATCCTCCTAAAAAACAATAAAAAGCCGTTAGAAAACCAAAGGGAAAATTAAGCCCTAATTGATTGGGGTATCGGGGAAGTAGCTATGTAAAAACTGCTTGGGCGATAAAAATTTACTGTGTAGCAATTAATATCTAGCAGCTAGATAATAAAAAGAATATAGCCGCTAGATTAAAAAATGTAAAATATAAATATATGACTAAAAACCAAAAAGAAAAGTCCTTTAAAGAATATTTACAAGAAATCGAGGATCCAAAAAATAACCAGGAGGTCAATTACGACTTACCAGAAAATCCCACCTCACTCCAAGTTGCTAAGTTTGAAATTTGTCAGGAAATTTTAGGTTATAAATTAAAAAAAAATCTTACCCGCCAACAAGTAGCCGACAAAATGGATTTAAGCAAAGCCGAAACCGAGGATATTTTGTTTTGCTGTATTGAAAAATTTACTTTGGATAGATTGGTAGAATATGCGAGCAGATTATTAGAACCCGTTCAAGTAAAAGTGATTTTAGAAACAAGAAAGCCAATTATTAATGCCAAAGCCTTTTAAACTAATTGACAAGTATTTTAGCAAAAAAGATAACGAATGGCAGTGAACTTATGAATTAAAGATTACTTTTAACTATCAGTCAATAATGTCGATTACTATCACTAGTTATTATCAGACCAAACCAGGACGAGAATGGATTACTAATGAACTAATTTTGGAAATATTGAAAAAAAGGTTTCACAACAAAAAAGCAGAACCTTTGGAATATTCAGGAATAAGGAAAGTATTTAAGCGAGAAACTACTTATCTAGAAAAGAGGTATCGTTTCTATTTCTGATTTAAGGATGGAACGAACAATCATTTATGAATTAGAAATATCCATCCTATCGACTAAAAAATATGACAATAATCGCCTTTATCAGCCAAAAAGGAGGCGTGGGAAAATCAACTTTAAGCCAAGCCCTCGCCACCGAAGCCTCCAAACAAAGATTAAAAACTTTACTCGCGGATTATGACCCCCAACAAAAAACGAGCCAAGAATGAAGCCAGCGGAGAAAACAAAAAAATAAATATTTAATTGTTAATTCTTTTACCACTTTTAAAGAAATTATTCAGCAAGAGAAATTTTTTGATTTACTAATTATCGATGGACCTGCCCGCACTAGCCAAGGAACATTAGAAATCGCCAAGCAAGCTAATTTAGTAATTCAGCCGACCGGAGCCAGTTTAGCCGACTTAAAGCCATCTGTCAATGAATTTCATGCCTTAGTAAAAGCAGGAATAAATAAGCATAAATTAGTTTTTGTCCTTAATCATTTAGCCACCAAAAGCGAGGAGGAAGCCGCGAGGGAGTATCTAACACTAGCAGGTTATTCAGTTCTCAATCATTCTTTAAAGGAAAAAGCCTCTTATCGGCAAATTCAGAATGAGGGAAAAAGTATTAGCGAGGTTAGTTATAAGAGTTTACAAAAAGAAGCCAAGGAATTAGTAAAAGAAATCATAAGTTATTTATAACTTTTTATTCTTAGATTATTAGATTATCAAAAAAGTATCTAGCGGCTAGACATTAATTTAAATCTAGCTGCTATAAAATAAATTATATGGATAACTGACAAAAACTAAAAAGGCATAAATTAGAAATTCCGCCTTCTCTGGCTGAAACTACTTCTAACTTACAATTGCCGGAAGTAATTGGAGAAAAAGTAGATAAAAGAACTTTACGAAGGACTGGGAGAACCGAACAATTTGCTACTAGGGTAAGTAAAGAGTGATTAGAGAAAGTGAAAAAGATTGCTGAAAATGAAAGTTTAAAGTTAGTGGAAGTGTTGGAAAAAATGTTGGAGAGTTATGAGAAAAATCACAAAACATTTTAGATTGATTATTAGACAATCATCTTTCAATAACATTTACATTTTGAATTCTTTCCTTTTGCTGATATTTTTCTCCTTCCTTTCATAATTCCAATTGGAATATAACAAGTGGAGTTGTGCTTAAACAGGCTTTTATGATTAGCGTTTACGGAGAATTATTTATAATTGTCTCGGTGCTATTTTCCTTAGTTATCGCTGTGCGATTTATTATGGGATTTTCCCCCTCAAATAGGAACTAGAAAAAGAAATAACCCTTAAACCAACTTCCCAATATACATTCGCCCTAAAAATCAACCTCAACTTTCTAAAATTTTAACTTTATTGCCGGCTATGCCTTGTCAAACTTCCAAAGTTTCTTTTTCTATCCGAAAAGAATAGTCCGTTTTGGGGTTAGACCAAGGAGATAAATCAGATAAAGGGGGTATTCAACCAGTTCGAGCATAATACATGAGGGCTAACCTTAAATAAAAAACTAACACTTTCTATTTCGCGGCTAGTTCAATCAGTCTGACCGGTAAAGCACAAGTAATCATAATTCTTTTTTTGACTATGTAATCCTGACGGGGAAAGAGACTGCGGAGCAGAAGGAGTTCCATGCCCGTGAAGCAGCAGTCGGGTTTGTCCTGGTTTAGTTTGTGTTTTAGTTTTTGTATTGTATGGTGCTGCATATAGTTTAGTTTTGGGTAAACTAACCATAAAATACATAATTAATTCTCTTTTAATCACTTTTCCGTTTTTTTCTTTATGATAATCCTTTAATTGGACGGCTAATTTATCTAATTGTTTATTAAGAAATTTCTGCTTGCTAGTTAGTTTATAGATTTGGGTATTTAAGAAGCGAACATATTCTTTTTTGCGGGTAATCTCCTCGGGAGTGGGTTTAGTTTTCTCTAATTTAAGAAATTTGGTAAATAATTCGGCAAAGTCTATTTCCTTAATTTGATTGCCAAATAAGTTTAAAGAGACTAATTTGTCTTTATTTGGTAAAGTATCTAAAAAGTTCAGATTAGTAAAATCATTATTAGAAGCATTTATTCCTTTTAAATTACTGAAATCTTTTAAATCGGTGATTTCTCCCTCTAATTGTTTAGTTTGTTTAGGGTCATTGTTTAAATCTAAATAAAAAACTCTTGATTTATTGACTAATCCATTAATGTATTCTTGGATATTCTTTGTCATATGTTTTATTTTTTACTGCTTTTAACTACTATATTCTTCCAATGCTAGCCAAAATACTTTCTCAATCAATTTCTTTATTCTTTATTCTCCGAACTAATTCCATAAGTAATTGTTCGTTGGCAAGAGAGTTAATTAATTCTAGACCATCCAAAATTTTCCTTTCTGCTTCTTTTAATGTTTTTGGGTCAAGGGTTCCCAGATGCTTTATTATTCTGTTTTTGTCAATATTTTTCACTTGGTCGCACATGATTTTCCCTTTTTGATTATTGAAATTAGAGTGAACTTCCCAACTTTCATAAAAAGGTTTGAGAGTATGAGTAAAAGGAACTACGGTAATGCGATTGCTTTTTAGGTTTTGGATGTCATTTGAGATTATTACGGCAGGGTGCGGGTCTTTAATTTCGGTGTTCCTGCTAATTATTTTAAATTTTCCCTTTTTCAGTGGGTCAAAACGAATTAAGTAGACTTCTCCTCGTTTGGTTTCTATTTTTTTCTCATTTTTGATTTTAAGGCTAACCATTAATTACGCAAATTTTTCTCATCCTCCTCTTGTATTCTATCCCATTCGGCAATTTCTTTATTTCTTTGTTTATCTTTGCTGGCTAGTTCTCAATCTTTTGCTAATTTTTTATTTTTTTTTTCGGCTTGTTGTTCGTAATTATTTACTAATTGGCTAAGACTGTTAATTATGAGAAATTTTTTTACTTCTTTAAGGTCGCTTTTAATTTCTCTTAATTCTTGAATGACTTCTCGGTTTTCGGTTGCCACTATTCTGCGATTGCCCGACATGGTTTTTAATTGCTTTTTAGTCATATTAACTTATTTTTTTATTCTTTTTCGTTTATTTTTATAATGTTTTTTCAGTTTTTTATTAGTTTTCTTACCACTTCTTATTTGTCAACCCCTATTTTTTAAGCGGGTGGGGTCAAAGTTTCGGACATGTTTTATTTGGTTTTGCTCTAATTCGTTTTTTTAGATTTTTTTCTTTTTCTCCTTAATAGTCCAGTCAATAGTTTTAAGGGAAATTTCAGGACTTTTAAAGTTGTGGTTAATATTCCCACTAAACAATAATTTCTCCCTCTTGCTCTGTGTATAAACTGATTACTTTGCGATAAGTTTTAAAGTTTTGTTCTTTCTCCTCAAACTCTATTTCTACTTCTTTAATATTTTCTCAATTGTTTACTAAATCATTCCAACCATCTTTAACTGTTTTTTCAAAACAAAAAAAGGCTTCTTCTGAATTATCATTATTCACAATTAGGTAATAAGTGTTAAAGTTTTTGTCTTCTAATTTTTTGATGGTAATGTTTTTTAGGTTTAGGGTTGGCATATGATTTATTTTTTTAATTCTGATATTCAGTAAATTTTTTATTAGAGTATAGGAATTTTTACTAAAAGTATTTAAGGATTTTTGTTAAAAATTTCCCTAGATAACTGGGGTTTTTCAGCAAAAAAACAGAGTAAAAAGTATTAAGGATGATTGAATTGTGAAATAAAGTTGAAAGTAAAACTACAATAAAGTAAGTTTAATTGCTTACTGGGTTGCCTAAAATTTAAAAAAATATGACAATTTGAAAAGAATATAAAATAACAAATAGAGAAAGTAGGTCAAATTATGTTAGATTTACTCTAAATGATTGGGTGGAGTATAGCGATGGAAGTAAAAAATTTATTGATTGTACTGGTACTAATTACTTTTTCAATTGAGAGGAAGGAGACAAGATTAAAATAGATAATGAAAAAACAAAACGAGAGGGTAGTTATAAAACTTTTACTCTTTATGATACTGTTGCATATAAGACTTTGTCGTGTTATTATGATAAATATTGACAAGTGGTTAGAGAAAAAAATAGTTCAGCAAGTAATGCTTCTACAAGATACAGTAATTTGGAAAGGGAGTGTAATGAATGAAAGACTAAATATTATGATAAGAGCAGAGATTATGAGGATTATAAAGAAAGATATGAGGAAGTTCAGGAGGAATTAAGTAATTTAAAAAATGAAAGAATTAGAGATACCCAAGCAAATACTACTGAAAAAATAAGGCAAAAAGAAACAGAGGCAAATTTGTGAGTTGAAAGAGCAAAGGCAGAGGAGAAATTAGAAAGTGCCAAGGCTCGGGAGTTAGGTTTGACAAAATTATTAGAAGATACCAAAACCGAGTTGAGTTTAGTTCGAGTGGAGAAAGACAATCAAGTGGCGATATTCGAAAACAAACTCGACCAAAAATCAGCATTATTAGAAAATATTCGCCAAGAGTTAAAGAATTTAGAAATTAAAAGTGAAAAAGAAAAAGCCGAAAAAAACAGTGAGGTTAAAGAAAAAGATAGTGAACTAAAAGAAAAGGAAAAAGAGTTAAAACAAAAAGAAGAGGAAGTTAAAAAATCACAAAGAAAAGCCGGACAATCTCGCGAAGAATTATTAAGTGAAAAATCAAGATTAAAAGAGGAAAAATTAAAGGCTTTTACTACTCCTTTGGGAGTTAGTTTACAGCAATTTAACAACTTACGCCGATATTATGAAAGATTAACCGATGCTCGCAAAAATTTTAATCAAGCCAATATTGAAACCCATGAGGATAATGTTGCTGTGATTGAGGAAGAATTTCGTCAAGCCAATATTAGTGTTGAAAACATTCAAAAAATATTAGTGTTGAAAACATTCAAAAAATTTGTCGTCAATGTGAAAAATTAGCCAAAATTCGAGTAGAATTAAGTGAAATAAGACAACAACAATTCGAAGCAAGACAAGAAGTTCCGACTAACAATTTTTAAAAATATAATAGTATGGTAAAAAAATATTACGAAATTTTAGAAATAAGTGAAACCGCTACTGCGGAAGAAATAAAAAAAGCCTATCGCAAATTAGCCTTAAAATGACATCCTGATAAATGAATGAATAGAAGTTCAGAAGAAAAAGAGGAAGCCAATAAAAAAATCCAAGAAATAAATAAGGCTTATGAGATTTTAGGCGATGAAGAAATGAAAAGAAGATATGATAACGGAGAAGAATTTACCTCTGATTTTAGTGGTTATGATTATGAAGGAGAAATTAAGGAGGAGTTTAGAAGAAGGGAAGAAGAATTGAGAAAGGCAAAAGTAGATGTCATAGATATCGAATTGGAAATACTTAAATTAGAAATGAAGTCATTAGACCGCTCTTCGACAATTAACGAGATAGGAATGGCTTTTAACCTTACTTACCCCCGCGTTTTTAAGGAAAATTTAGACAGTAAATTATGAGAAGGTTATCAAGATTGAGGCGAAAAGGTGGTGAAAATGGAAATTACTATTCCTAAGGGTAAGGATAGAAGTGAAGAATTAAAACAGTTTAAAGAGGAAATGATTAGAGCAATAAAAGAGGTTGAAACTGTTCTCCAAGATAAAGAAAAGGAGAAACAAAACAAGAGAAAGAATCGAACTAATGACAAGGTTGGACGGGAAAAAACAAGTGCTATTGAAAGGATAGAAGAATTGATAACAAAGAAAGGTTTACAAGCCCAAGATTTAGAAAAGTTTTCTAATTATCAAGACCAAATTGATAATCTGAATAAGATTTGGGAAGTTCGAGAATTAAGAGATAGAATTATAGAAGCAGTTAATAGCCAAAAAACTAAAAGCAGTGGCAGTAATGATAAAAAGTCCAAAGGTGAAAGTGGAAAGGGAGATAAAAATGACAATCGACCAACCAGTCAAAATCAAGATAATCAAGATGACAAGCAAGAAAGAAAGGGGGCAGAAGGGCAGATACCAAGCAAGTCCGACAATGACAACCAAAATGATAATCAGAAAGTAGATTATAGTAGGTTAACTAGAAAAGAATTAATTGACACAATTAACCAAAAAGATTTAGAAAATAGTTCTTTAAAAGAAATTATTACGGCATTAGAAAGAAAAATTGAAGAATTGGAAGAAGAAATAAAAGAGTTGAGAATGGAAAATCCTCAAACTTCTGAAATTAAGCAAGAAATCTCAAAAAGAGAAACACAATTAAAGGAAGCCAAAAATAGTTTAGAGAAAATTAATTCTGTTAATAATAGTTTTGGCGAAAATCCTAATAATTCTAATTCTAATGATAAATTCCCTACTGGTTGAGTGGTAGGGGGTGGAATATTAGCAATAATAGGATTAACAGTATTATTTATAGTTTATAGTAAAAATAACAAAAAAAAGAAAAAGTTATAGTTGAATTCTCTAATTGAATTATTAGTAAATTTCTTTTCACTTTCTTTCTCATTCCAAATACTCCTCTGAATTCTTAATTAACTGATGAATCTCTTGTTAACAAAAAAAATCCCAGTTTCCCACCTAAAACCGCCCTCTCCCACAAAAATTTGCACAAAGTTAATACCAAATCATAATCCTTAAAACTAAACACTAATAACTCTTAAAGTTATTAGTAAAAGTAAAGTCATAGTCCTTTATTACCAAAAAAACAGTTAAAAGTAGCAAAAACATAAATAGGATTATCCCTATATACTAAAATTACTATATTATGAAACTAATTTACATAAAATCCACCATGGAACCTAAGAATTACAGCACTATTCGCAGTATTCTCAAACAAGAACGGGGGGAAAAGATTTCCCCTTATGTTTTTAAGTTAGTCAATCCTCAACCGGTTAAAGAGTATTTAGAAAAGGAGGGAATTACTTATGAGACTTACCAGCAAGAAGTAGTAAACGAGCCAAAAAAGACAACAAAAGAGAAATTAATTGCGGGTTATAAAGCCAGTGCTAAAAGTAAAAAGTTAACTCAGGAGGACACCATTTGAGAGGAAAGCATTGCCGATGGGCTAGATAATGAGTAAAAAAATACTAAACTCTTCTCTTTTTCCCCATGATTTTCCCCGTAAAGGTGAAATCTATTTAGTGGATTTTAATCGGAAGCGAGAAAGAGAAATCTTTAAAATCCGCCCTGCGGTAGTAGTTAGCGGTGATCTCCAAAATGAATATGATAAGCAAATATTAATGGCTCCTATTAGTGCCGAGGAGGAATTAAGTGCGGAGGAAATTAAGTTGTTTTCGGTGCTGACAGTGGATATTTCTCCGACCAAAGAAAACTAGTTTGGATAAGGAGAGTAAAATATTACTTCATCGTATTCGGGCAGTTCAGAAAAGCAAACCCCGAATATTGGAATATTTAGGAGTTGCTAGTCCCAAAACATTACGGCAAATAAAAGAAACTTTAAAAGTAGTTTTAGAGTTAGAGTAAAACTAGAATAATTACTACTTTTAAAAAAAAGTAGCAAAAAAAAATTTTCCAATTTAGAGCCTTTTCTAAGGCTTTTTGGGAGGATTTGGGAGTATTTTTGTTGCCTTTGAGTGCTTTTTTTTTAATTAAATGACTTTGGTGAGATTATTTATTTCTGTTTTTTTTTTTTTTTCTGAATAAACTCTTTAATGGCTCCGTATTCATGTTGTTTGATACTCTCATATTTTTCGTTTATTCTTAAATTATCTTGAATAAATACTCGAATATTTCCTGTTCCTCCAATTTTGGTGACATGAATGTGAACTGCTTCTCGATTTCTTTTGGATTTATCATTGAGTGGTTCACTAGGGTAAACTTTAAATTGATAGCCTCCTCATTTACTATGCGGATGCCTTTTTGGAAAGATATTAGCCATTATTCAACTTTTTATCTTGTAAATTATTGCGAAATTCTAGGCAACTAGGACACAATTTTCCTTTTTCTTCTAGACTGTTTAAAATAACTAAAAGACTTGATTTTTGAAGTTCTTTTTTTTCTTCGCCCAATTCGTTAAACCATTCTACTAACTGGCAACAACTAATTGTTTCGGGAGACTTGCCACCAAAAGTAATTGTTTCTACTTTTCAGCCTTGTTTTTTAGCCTCTTCAATTTTTTGCCTTATTTTTAGTTCTCCATCTTCTCAGCGTTTCCTCACTGATTCGCGAAATTCTTCTTCGGTTATTTTCTTTTCTCCAAATTTTTTTCCATCTTCTCCGCAGGGATTACAAAATAAAACAGGATTTCCATTGCGTCTATCTATGGCATAAGTAAAGTTTCCTTCTTCTAAAAAATTTTTACAAAGTTGGCAAGCATAAGGAAGGTTGCGAGACATGTTTAAATTAACTTAATTTTTATTGTCGATAGTGTTTATGTTTCAAAATCAATAAAAATATCAATATGTCTCAGCAATTACCAACTCCCCAATTGCTTAATCAGGTAAAAGATTTTATTAAGAACCAAGGG